CTGGTTCAATTGAAAAAAAAAGAAGAAGAAGAAGAAGAAGGAATAAACATGTTGATAGCCGTCAAGACCAGACGGTGAAAATTTCTTAACGAAAGATCAAGATTAAACTTTACATTAAAAAAAAATCATCAAAACAAGGAGATAGAAAAATGAATGGAAATTAATTCGCATTAAGACGAAAAACGAACAGATTAAAATCTTAATAAGGGTTAAAAAAATGAATGTTGAATGAACCGAGATCCCAAATTGGCAAAAGAAAATAGAGTTTTCACCACCTTATCCACTTGCCGGTTCGAGATTAGATTGCAAATCGAGAACTTTTGGAGTTATGGAATCATAGATTGAACCTGAAGAATGGGAAAAAAATTCTTTGAAGGTACTGAAGCCAAAGGAAGAGAAAGAGAATATGGGGAGAGAGAGAGGAAAGCGACGGCTCCACTGTTGATCGTTGGGCTTTGTGGTTATGAGACACGGGATCCTCAGTGCCACTTTTCCGGTGGCAATTCAGTGCCACTTTTATAGTTATGTCAAGTGTCCTGTTTATGTAATTTGTCATGTGCTATTTATTTAAATTTCTTCTATTATCACGTGATAAGTGGGATTGACACTGAATTTGGTACCGACTAGTGATATAGAGAATCTTAACTAATGGTTATGATAGGTTTCATTTAGTTTGTAGGAAACTCAAAAACCGTTGGTTAATGGTTCGTCCGATTTTTATCGGTTCAAAAGGTTTGATTGATTATTGACGGCTTTATATTACTCAATGGATGTAGCATTCAATCGGATCATAGCACTAGCGGAGCAAAAAAAAATTCTCAGTGAGAGCAAAAGTAACACTAAAATTTTTTACCTATTCTTTTCCTAATTTTTTAAGTAAAAAAATATTCATCAACAAGTTAAAATGAAAAGTCTTTTTAAGCTCACTTTAAATGAAACTTTGTGGCTTACATATTTTTTTAGAATATTAGTTCATGAACTAACTTAAAGGACCACGTAATTCTTTCGTTTCCTTCATAAGAAAAATCTGAGAGCATACTTAAAATTATATCAAAATTCTATGAATACTATAGGAATTTAAGGAGAGCAGTGGGGACCCGTGCCCCTGGTGCCCCCACCTTAAATCCGCCACTAGATCAGAGTTAAGGTAAATTCACAGTTCAATCGATCGAATCGACCGATGCAATCCGATTTCAAAAACACTCTCCATACCCCATCTTCTCCACCTAGCTAGATTGTACCCAAGTCAGGTCTGCCAGTGGTCTTCGAAAGTGGTGGAGCCCAAACTTAGGAAAAAAAGGCCTCAATTTGTGCTGTTGGTTGCCTAATTGGACTGCAGGTTTCTACACATATTGCACCGGCCTTTCCATCCTTATCCGATCTTTATATTCAAAATATCTCTACAATAATAAAGCCAGCGCAAATGGACACTCAAAATCTCTTTATCCAATCAGTAGGGATGGCAACGGGACGAGGTTGGAGCGGGGGATCCCTCCCCATCCCTCGCCCCGTCTCTCGTTTCTCGCTCACCCCGCCCCGCACCCGCAGGGTAAATAAAAATTTGTTATATAATTTTATTATAGTTAAAATTTAGCAAATAATCAAGTACTAAAATATCAAAACATTATCAAATTATTATTTATTATAATTTCACAATTGAAACTTATAAAAACAATCAAACAAAAGTTATTTGAATACAATCCAACATGATAAAATAAATACAACTAAAGTAGTCAAGTTTTCACTTTTTGCACAAATACAATCACTAATTCATTATTATACTTGTGCTTTTTTTTTTGAAAAAAAATGTTATTGTATTAAGCGTAACTAGGAAATTAGTATAAATGTATTAGTAAATTTAATATAACTAATTAATAATTTGTATTAGTACACATATATAATTATTAGTATAATTGATAATATCAATTATATTACATATACTAATATATATTATATAATACATATAACTAATAATATCATTATCATAAGTTTGTAACTAATTAAATTATATATTATATACAATTATATACATATTATATATATATATTTAAAGCGGGTGGCGGGCCGGAGATAGGGCGGAGGTACACTTCCCGCCCCCGCCCCGTTTCTAAGCGCCTCATCCCACCCCCGCCCCATTAGACCCCGCGGGGCGGGTTGCCATCCTTGCCAATCACCATTTGCGCAGTTAGTCAGTTACCCCAGTTTGCAGTCGTAAAAACATGTTGCCCTGCTGATGGATCCAGAGAGAGTAAAATATTGGAAGTCCAGAGGGTAAAACAATAGGGGGAAGGAAGGAAGAAAGAAAGGCTTATGGATACTACAGTGTCTTACCTTGTGCTCTATTTTGTCATCTGGGCATGCATCTATGTGCTCACTTCAAATTTAAGATCTCGGAAATCAGCAACCAGACTCCCTCCGGGGCCTTATTCATTTCCAATCATCGGAAATCTCCATCAGCTTGGTAAAAAGCCCCATCAATCATTTGCCAAATTATCCAGAACTTATGGACCTCTGATGTCTCTTAAGCTAGGGAGCAAAACAACCATACTTGTATCATCTGCAACTGTTGCAAGAGAAGTGCTACAGAAGTATGACCGGATGTTTTCAAGCCGAGCAATCCCCACTGCAGCTCAAGCACTCGATCACCACAAGTTCTCTTGGTCTGGCTGCCACCTTCCAGCCAATGGCGGAACATGCGCAAGATGTGCAAAGAGAATATTTTTGCAACACCAAGGCTCGATGCTAACCAAGGCCTTCGTCAAGAAAAGCTTGAAGAATTACGCGATTATTTGCATAGGTCTAGCCTTAGCAGGAAAGCTGTGAATGTTGGTGATGCAGCCTTCACAACTCCTCTTAACTTGATGTCAAGGACTCTATTCTCTAAAGATTTTGCCAACTATGGCTCTGATTCGTCTCAAAAACTCAAAGAGATTGTGTGGGGGGCATGGTTCAAAGTCGCTGTTGTGGTTGCGGTCGTTGTCTGACTGTTTCACATCGGTCTCGGTCTCGGCGAGACGTGAATTTTTAAAATATTTAATATTATAAAAATGGTAAAAAATATGATAAACAAAAATAATTAAAAAATTAGTAAAAAAAATAAAAATTCGAGTTGATTCGGAGTGATTCGGTATTATTTGGCCGTTTCAACCCTTCACGGTGACGTTTCGGCGAGTCAAGTATCTCGAAATCGTATCGTTCCGATATCATATCAGAATGGCTGAGACGGTGACGACTCGGCTGAGTCGTCTCAGACACGGCCAAGTCTTTGAAACTCGGGGTGATGAAAACTGCTAACGGTCCTGATCTCTCATATTACTTTCCAGTTCTACAGATGATTGATCCCCAGGGAATCATGAGGGACAGCAAGTTCTATTTCCAGAAGTTGTTTGAAATCTTTGATGATATCATTGATGAACGGGTACAAGTCAGAGGTTCATCAAAGACGAAGAAAAATGATCTGTTGGAAACACTGTTGGATCATAGCATAAGGAATGTGTTTGAGTTTGGCAGAAATGATCTCAAACATTTGCTTTTGGTAAGTGTTAACCTGATCACCTTTAATAAGCTAGTTGGTTATAAACATACGTGTCTAAAACCTTTGTCTATGTATAATTAATTTCATGTCGTTCCGCCTGGGACTGATTCTGTGCATTAATATTATAGTGGATAGGAAGTTTTGCTCCACTGATTCTCTTAAGAAAATAAATGGCAACCTCCCATTGATAGTCATGAAAATTTACCATTCGGTTAAATGCTGAAAATTAATGATATCTTCTACGTGTAGAATGACTGCTAATACATGGCTTGCAAGGTACTTAAGACTAGTAAAAGTGCATGGCAGAAATATAGGTTGGAATAGAATTTAATCTTTAGTGGAAATCTTCAACTTTGCATGATAATCTCACATCATATGGGCAGGAATTAGGAAATCTGTTGGCTTGACATCGATCTTATTGTGGTTTCTACCAGGATCTATTTGTGGCAGGAACAGACACCACTGCCGCCGCTGTGGAGAGGACAATGTCAGAGTTATTACGCAACCCTGATAAATTGCTAAAGCTGGAGCAGAGCTCAAGGAAGTCATTGGACAGAAGGAAGTAGTCCAAGAATCAGATATCTCAAGGCTCCCTTACTTGCAAGCGGTAATCAAAGAAACTTTTCGCTACACCCCGCAGGACCATTACTTGCTCCTCACAAAGCTAATGATGATGTAGAAATCAATGGTTACATGGTGCCAAAGAACACACAAGTACTTGTCAACGTGTGGGCTTTGGGTAGAGATCCGGCAACATGGTCAGATCCTGAGATTTTTGAGCCAGAGCGATTTTTAGGCAGTGAAATTGATGTGAGAGGCCAGCATTTCAAGCTCATCCCCTTTGGTGCAGGGAGGAGGATATGCCCTGGATTGCCTCTGGCTTATCGAATGGTGCATTTGATGCTAGCTGCTTTCATTCACAACATTGACTGGAAACTTGAAAGAGAAATTTCTAAAATTATGATGAATTTTAAAAAATTCTACAAATGAGGCATTTTGAGTATCGGATTCCGCCCAAGGAGCTCGCATTTTCTGAATCTGAAGTCCCCTTGAATTTTCAACCAAAAAATGCGAGGTCTGTTACGTCGCATTTAAGAGATGCGAGGTCACTTACCTCGCATTTAACAAATGTGAGGTCAGTGACCTCTCATTTCTTAACAGACAATCGCATTTCACTCTATTTGTTTGGAAGAATGATTAAACGAACTCTGCAATAGCTTAGTTTGTTTCAGGGGCTGCTTGGTTAAAAGGTTTGGGAATCAAATAATGGAATGAACCCCTTATTTGTTGCTTGGGTTAAGTCTATTGGAATGCAATTTCTGGAATCATTTCTAAAAAATCGGACTTTCACCATTCCTGAGTAAATTGGGAGGTTTTGGACAAAACCCTCAACTCATTCCCGAGCAAAAACATTTATGACGAACCTACCCTCTTTTTTTCTTCATTACACGCCGCTTCTGTTCTTCTTCTTCATCAGATTTTCTACCTCTTCTACTTCACCGGTTGGACAACCATAAAGATCAGTGGCTTTCGACTCTCCTTGGACAACGAATTCTAGAGTTGAAGAGTCTTCTACTAGGGTGAATTCCTTGATCCCAGGTCAGTGGATTACAAACTCCCTTGCCTCTGCAATTTTCTTTTCGTATGCAAGCTTTTCTCTTTCTTCTTCTCTGTTTTTTCAGGCTACTCACTGGGTAGCTGAAAATAAAGAAGAAAAGAAGGGAATCTGATACAATAACACTAACTGGACCAAAATGCTATGCTCTGGACCCATCACCTTCTCACTTTTATTCCACTCACGCTACACAATCTGTCAGTTTTGCAAAAAAGTCTTCCTTCCATGAATTCATATTCTTTTGTCACAAAATCCAATAAGAAATTATTTCCATTGGTGAGAATAATACATGTTTTTAATCCATGTATTTTGTTGTAATACATGTATTTTAATTCACTTACTTCAACAAATACATTATTTTGTTCTTTTTTTTGGTGAGATAAATGTTAATGTCACTAGATTTGTCATTTTTATGTTTTTAATGTGTTTTCTTGGATTACGCATTCAATGGAGGTCAATCAATTCTTGATCTTTTGGTTATTTGATCCGTGAATACTGGTATAGTTTGGGTGGGTTTCTACATGCCCTGTACCTGTTTGTAAAATTGTCTGCTTGAATAGCTTTCAGTTTCATAGTTATTCGTACATTAGGATTTCAAGTTTCAACCATCAATTTCGTTTGTTTATGCTTATTTATATCTATACATCATTGTGTTTACGGATGTATGATGCATGTCTAGGCCCTTTTAATAAGATCAATTGATGTTTAATGCATTTGAAGATTTTGATGCCGTAATCTAGTTTGGTGAATACTTACGTTTGGTTGTCATATTGTTATGTAGACAAAGATGCCACGTTTGCCTATTGAAAACAGAAGACGCAAAAAATATCGAGGGCAAAGCCAGATTTTATCAGGAATGATAATGGTTGTTATTGCACTGTTTATGATGTGGTACCAGTTAATATTCATTCATCTCAAAAGTAGAAGACGCCAAATAAAATCAAAAGAAGAAAAAGTCACTGAGCGCATGCAACACTTATTCAATTTGACTAGGGAGAGTGATGCTTATTGTATTAGCGAACTTCGTATGGATAGACGAACATTTGGGATATTATGTGAAATGATTAGAGACACTGGAGGTTTGAAAGCTACAAGAAACATGTCAATAGAAGAAATTGTTGCCATGTTTGTATATGTTTTGGCTCACCACAAGAAAAGTAGAACAATTTGTGGTCTATTTTGGAGAAGTAGAGAAACGGTGAGTCGTCAATTTAATCTTTGCCTCCTAGCAGTTTTGAAATTGCATACTATATTACTTAAGAAGCCTGAGCCTATTACCGAAGATTGCACAGATGAGAGATGGAAATGTTTTAAGGTAATTCAAACATTAAAATACAATCATTTAATAAAATGTATGTTTTCATCTAAACTATCCAATATAGACATTTTAACTCATTTATATTTTTTATTTTTGTTAAAATAGAATTGTTTAGGTGCCTTAGATGGGACATTAATAGATGTGACACCACCCACCGAACAAAAATCAAGATACCGAACGAGAAAAGGAAGTATTGCAACGAATGTATTAGGGTTTGTTCTCCTAATATGCAATTTATCTATGTCTTGCCTGGTTGGGAAGGTTCGGCACATGATGGTCGTGTGCTTCGAAATGCTATCTCTAGACCAAATGGTCTTAGAGTCCCACAAGGTAAACATAAAAACGTCGTCGTGTCTTGCCTTTCCAATTAATCCATGAAAATCCGCCTTGAGCTCGATTCTCCCGACAGTGGTTATGGCGGCCTCGAGTGAACCCAACTCAAGAGAAGACATCTTCGACTCCTCACTGAATCTAGAAGAAACCCACCTCAAAGAAGGCTATAACGAGGGCTACGCCGACGATTTAGTCTCTGGCGAGGAGGAGGGCCGGCAAGTGGGCTTAAAAACCGGGTTCGAAGTCGGCGAAGAGTTGGGCTTTTACAGGGGTTGTATTGATGTATGGAACTCCGCTATTCGGGTCGATTCGAATTGCTTTTCGTCTCGGGTCGTGAGAAGCATCAAACAAATGGAAGAGTTGCTGAACAAGTACCCGATTTCCAACCCGGAAGATGAGTCGGTTAGCGATGTTATGGACTCTTTGAGGTTGAAGTTTCGGGCTATTTGTGCCACCTTGAATGTGAAGTTGGAGTATAATGGCTATCCCAAATCTTCTGATGGTGGAAATATCCAATTTTGAGGTTAATTTTTGCCCCATTTTTTAGAATTTTTTGTCAAATCTTTTGCTTTCCTTTTTTTCCCCTATGTTTTCATAAGTATTGATCTGATGGCTTAATTGGATTGGCTAATTGGGATTCTTTTGCTTCTGTATATTGATTATGGACATGTCTTTTGCTACAGTTGGAAACCAGATTTTTGGATTTTCTTGGGATTTAAAGCTCTTTTTGGTTTTTGTGGTTGATTAACTGGTTGGGTTCAGAATAGTTTCTAGTTTAAAACTTTTATTGTCTAAATTCTGTTTGGTAATTACAGATTAGTTGTTATGTTATAGATATTTTAGGGAAAATAATCAGAAATTTTTAATAAAGAAAGGTACCATTCATGTATGAAAATGTACCCAGTTCTGTACATAATGTAAAATAGATAAAAATTATGCCCTCTTCAATATATATCTTAAATGGCGTGCCCTTTCCAGCAATTTTCCCTTTTTTTCCGTCATAATTCATTATATTTGTGGGGCTGGTAGCCTCAGATGAGCGACAAATAGAATGCCTTCTGCAGAGGATTTAGCTGTAATCTTGCGAAGAAGCTATATGATTGACTATGCTAGCAAATATGCAGTGGAAAGAGGGGAAAGAAGAAGACATGAATATTAACTAGTGAAAATGTATGTGTAATAGATAATCTATTGAGGTGACAGTTATGCCAAACTGGAAAGACTGTAAATCCATATCTGAAATTTGAGATTTTGGTAAATAGTACTAGGAGTAATTTTCTAAGCAAGAGGAATTCAGAAGTCTTTGAGATTTATGGAATTGAGTGTATCAGAAAATTGAGATTGTGGTGAATAGAACTAGGAGCAATTATTTGATCTGGAGAACTCAAAATGTCTTTGAGATTTATAAAATTGTCAGCAGACTTGGAGCCATATGTTAGCCTGGCTGTTGTGGTGCATACTATAATTTTTGCATGTCTATAAGCTGAAATTTCGACTCTGCTGTCAGCTGATTCACTTTTTCTAGATTTTATTTGCACTTTGAGAATTTAGGTTTCAGATTCATTATGTATAGCCATTTAGGTAACATGTAAAGATGATTACTTTCTTACGTAGAGAAAGCACATATACATTTTTTTAGCTCTTTTTTTTTAATTTTATTTTTGGAACTGAGTAAACATCTTTGTTTTGTGTCTAGGTTGAAGAAAAGGAACTTGGTCACTTTGTGGTGCAGGGGAAGAAGGAAAGTGTTTTTCAAGTGCGTTGGCTTGAGATCCGAGCTGACTCTACACTTTTCTTTGTGAAAGAAAGGTTTCATTTTCACACATGCCTTGAGGATGGAGGGTGGAGACAAAAGGTTGATAAATGACTGTAAGACTGTGATGCAAAAGATTGTTGGTGGAGTGCATGCTGATAACAGTCATTAACTTGTCTGTGTTTTGGGCAGGTTTATAGCAATTGAGCCAACAATTAATTCTTTAAAGTATAGCTCTATGTCGGAGAAATTTTTATGCTTGTCTTAGCCCTCATCAGCTTCTCCTGGCTTCATGAAAGCTTATTGTCTTGTAGTTTACATAAAATTTATATTACAATTGGAGCTAGTGATGCATCATCAAGGGCTTCCGAGGCTGTTCTTTCTGGACCCTGTACAAAGACTGAAGTGTTGGAAAGCTTCTAAAATGCACCTATCTTTAGCTGACATGATCGACAAGGCTGTTGGATACCTGTTGTCAGATGAAATTTCGTGCAATTCTTTATATTGTGTCTTATTTCTTGAATTGCATGAAGCCTAGGAAGATTTCACATGCAAAAAGGATAATCCCCCAGTTTGATATTTTGGTTGAAACTTAAAAAGGGGGATGAACATACAAGAAACCCATGCAGGCATAGATCAAGTCTTCTAGCAATCAGGAATGATGCCTACTGAATTAGACTATTCAGCACTGCTAAAAATGGGATATCTCACGAGTAGGCAGGTGATTTGTGTGGATATACTTGGTTGAATTCTCATCCTGGCTTTGGCAATTGCCAAGGCTGCCTGGTGAAATTGTTGATTAATTTGCAACATGAGACGTGGACAACCCTTTTTGGTTAATATGTAGGGAAAGCAAATATTGGTTTCTTTGACTTTCATTATTGCCAAAAGTTGCCTCCCACCCCAACTGACTGGCCAGGGGATCGATCCCTTGACCAGTCAGCGAGAAACTTTCAGCCAAAAGAAGGTTGCGAAAAGGCCATTGCCTTTTCTATCAATGAGGTTGGGAAAAGATGGTATTGAAATTTCCACATAACAAGTTAGTGCAATTCTTGCATACATTTCAGTATAACTGATTTTCACAATCAAGACCTGAGGTTTACATGGTCATACTCCTTGACCCGAAATTTTGACCAATAAAGGGTTTTTTTTTTTTTAATGTTCTGCTTCTGCCAATAATACTACGAGACATTTGTACGATTCTTCCCCTTCTTCTGAACTTTTCAATTTGAATATGTATCATTTTGATCCCTAATTTTGCTGCTGATAGACATAATAGTAAGGTAAATTTGAAATCCGTGGTTTAACTCTCAAACCATTCTTTTTCCTCTATCATGGTTTGTAATCTCTCTTTATAAAAAAAAAAAAAATCTCTTTTCTTGCCCAAAATTAAAAAAAAAAAGGGAAATCAGTCTTTATGTTACATATAGAAAATGTGTACTACTCGAGAAAACAAAAATAATGATCATAGAAAATTCAAAAAGGGATACATGAATGTAAAGTAAAACTAGTGGCTTCCCAAAGTACTGCCAAAAGGGTAATTCAACTTTTATCCTGCTCTAAGAAAATAGGCAAAAAAATAATAAAAAGAAAATAACTATAGAAATTCTAAAATATCTCTGTGAAATTCTAATTTCTTGATTATTGGCAAAAACTTGGCACTATCCAATCTATCTAATGTGTTGCGCGGACATGGCTGTGCCTGAGTTTTAACTACGTGTAATGACATCTTTCTATGCCACCGAGTTAATTGCACCATGTAGGATTTAACACATAAAGCATGCATGGGTTAAAGGGTTGTGTATGAGGAAATGAGATGATGTCCACCGGAGCAGCTGCCGTGCTTCAAAATCCTTATGCATTACAAGCTGGATATCAGGGGGTGCAGGTGCCCCAATTCCCCCTCCCAATTTATGCCAATGAGGCCAGCCGGTGTTGGAATGAGAATGCATGGCATTTTCTTCTTCAACTGCGCTACCTGTGATGCCATTCCCCTTGGCTAGTCCTTGTCAATCAACCCTAGCAGCCTCAGGAACGGGCAAGCTATTTGTGATGCACCTAGAAGGTCAGTTAATTCATCATATACACTTAAATCTTAGGGGTCCCCAATATAACTGTTGCCAGAAATATGGCCCTGGTTAATTTATTGTGACAATGATAGACATGGCCGGGGCTGGCGTTTGCCATTTGCAGCGTAAATTAGCAGCATGTGCAGCATAAACTCTGGAGTTAGGCCCTACTAACTAAATGTAGTCTTGAAGGGTAAATATACAGAAGCATAAGAGTCCCAATTAGCCAATTCAATCAAGCCTCAGATCAACACTCAGAAAAAATAGGGAAAAAAAAAAAGAATTTACATAAAGAACTATGTAAAAAAAGGCAAAAATTAACCTCAAAATTGGATATTTTCTCCATCAGAAGATTTGGGATAGCCATTATACTCCAACTTCACATTCAACGTGGCACAAATAGCCCGAAACTTCAACCTCAAAGAATCCATAACATCCCCAACGGACTCATCTTCCGGCTCCGATATTGGGTACTTGCTCAGCAACTCTTCCATTTGTTTGATGCTTCTTACGACCCGAGACGAAAAGCAATTTGAATCGACCTGAATAGCAGAGTTCCACACATCAATACAACCCTTGTAAAAGCCCAACCCTTGTAAAACGTCGTCGTGTCTTGCTTTTCCAATTAATCCATGAAAATCCGCCTTGAGCTCGATTCTCCCGACAGTGGTTATGGCGGCCTCGAGTGAACCCAACTCAAGAGAAGACATCTTCGACTCCTCACTGAATCTAGAAGAAACCCACCTCAAAGAAGGCTATAACGAGGGCTACGCCGACGATTTAGTCTCTGGCGAGGAGGAGGGCCGGCAAGTGGGCTTAAAAACCGGGTTCGAAGTCGGCGAAGAGTTGGGCTTTTACAGGGGTTGTATTGATGTATGGAACTCCGCTATTCGGGTCGATTCGAATTGCTTTTCGTCTCGGGTCGTGAGAAGCATCAAACAAATGGAAGAGTTGCTGAACAAGTACCCGATTTCCAACCCGGAAGATGAGTCGGTTAGCGATGTTATGGACTCTTTGAGGTTGAAGTTTCGGGCTATTTGTGCCACCTTGAATGTGAAGTTGGAGTATAATGGCTATCCCAAATCTTCTGATGGTGGAAATATCCAATTTTGAGGTTAATTTTTGCCCCATTTTTTAGAATTTTTTGTCAAATCTTTTGCTTTCCTTTTTTTCGCCTATGTTTTCATAAGTATTGATCTGATGGCTTAATTGGATTGGCTAAT